TCGTGCAGAGCCCCCCATGCACCATGGGGCAGTAGGGGGCAGGGGGGGATCGCCCCCCACATGGCAGCACCCGCTGAGCACTGAGGCTTTTTTTTTTCCCCCCCAAGGGGCCAGGAGCTGGGGCCGGGGGGGCAGCCATTGCCAGGCTGGGAGAGCGGGCAGGTGATGGGCCTGGCCGATTCGGAGATTTGGCAGCAGCTGAATCTCCAAATCAGATTTGGCCGAATCAAATCAGGACAGTGATTCGAATCACCGAATCGAACCGCTGTCCCCCGAATCGGCCAAATCCGAAGCGAATACTAGCTGCTTCACACAGGCCTACCTACTATAAAAGCACTAATGCAAACAAAGGGCCTGATCCTGCAGGCCTCATTGGCATAAGCATTACTAGCTCTTTACAAGGTGTTCATGTGAGCAGTCCAATAGGACAAGTGTCCAGTAGCAAGACTGAAAGTAGTTCCACAAAGAGATGTTTTTCAAAAGTGCCATTTCAAGATTTCAGAAGAAACTGGACCTTGGGGCAAAAAGAACCTGACAGGAATTTAAACACAGCATTAGAAGGCACCTAACCTGGACCAAAAGTGTGTGCATATGACGTGCTACAGAAATTATTCTAGTGTGCATCAGTGAAGGCCTGCTGAATCTCTAATTCATTTTGAAACAGACTTCTGCCCATGAAATTCTGCACAAGAAACTGAGACAAACAACTGCATTAAATATTCCGTTGCATATTTTGGAGCCAACAAAACACAATGATTTGCTCAAGGGGAGAAAAAGTCAATGCTTGAAACTAGAGACAGCATCTTAAGCTGAGTCTACCTGGAGCTTCTATACCAATTTGACTATTTGTAATAGTGAAACAGTTAATTGGTACAACTGCTAATGTGGATGCAGCTTTACTGGTATAAAACTGCTTTTGAGTGATATAACTTCTTCCCCTTCCAGTAGTGGCACAAGCACCTTGATCCTATAATCAGCACTCCCACACAAGCAAACAACTGTGCTGCTATCACAAAATCAGTACTATTTGGCTGTATAGAAAAGGCCTTAAGAGAACTGGTTCATTGACCTCAGGAGGGAAGAGCCCCTAGAATAGACGATCTAATCTCCCCTTCTAAAGTCTCTATTGCAGGAAGACAAAAAATGACGCCTGGTTAAGCCCCTGAATGCCAAGCGAGCAGGAAAGCCCCTAAGTCATTGGTGTTTGTAATAATGTCTGTCATCACTCTTTTGTATAAAGTCTTGGCTGGATTTGTCCGCCCAATTATCTGCAACCATAATAAAAAACAATGGCAGATGGACTCAGGCTTGAAGCCTCTGTGCAAAGCTAACGTAGACTGATGATGACAACGCTGTGGTTTTGCATTGCTAATAGGCTGGTTGTTCCATGACTGACCGAATGCCATAAAACAACAGCGTTTGGACTCTGTCAAGTCTAGCCTTAAGAGAAAATTAAATAAAATGGGCCTATTTTATCAAGCCGAGAGGATTTGATAAAGTAGAAATACACTGTACACATTTAATTGGCTCCAGCCATTTTCCCTTCCAGCAGCTATTACTTTCTTTCTGATGCAAGCGATTGTCTGTCACCCATGGGTGCACAGCTCACTACACAACTCTGCCTCTGTGATGTCACAGTGATGAAAGCAACTAAAGGGACAGTGGTGTAAAAATAAGTGCAGTTCCCTCCACTTGGGACCTGGTGCCCCATAAGAGAAGCTCAATGTTCCCTTGAGAGCTCAGAGAAGTGTACCTGAACTATTTCACCTCCATTCCCAAGGTGGTATCTTTGACTGAAAAACTGAATCTAACTTCACTTAAAACCTTAGTAAAACTCATCTGCCCTTTCATACACTTGCATTGAGATTATTCTGCAGTATCATCCCTTAAAGAAATGCCAGGCATTTAGCCCAAGTGGCATGGTCCAACTCAAGCACAGGTATTCTTCCTCCATAAATTCTGGCCATCATTGCTCATCATTTCCTCATGCTCACCAGTCTGTATCACCCTGGTAGAATTAGTCTTGTACTTGGGGCCTCTGTTCACTGCAGCACTAACTCCTCTCAACTCAGCAGTCACTCATCCCAACAGCCCTGCAAGCTGTAAGGAGAGCTGGCATGAGCCAGACAGTCCTAAAGCACCCCATGGAGTTGCACAAAATGTTTTTGGCCAATGGCAGGTTTGCCAGACATGTGGGTTCAGATTGAAATTGGCTAATATTTTGGTTGGGAAAAAAAGGACGGAAAAATGAAATTAAAAGTGTATTGAAGTGCTTTGTTTGCACACTTTCTAAACAAAATTACAATATTTAGTTTAGAAATGGTGGCTTTTTT